AGCACTGTTGTGGAGCTCAGAGAGCCCTGGAGCCTGAGCCAGTGGTGCCAAACAATCTCCTGAGCTGCGAGCGCGGCAGTTCCCTTCAACCGTAACCTTGCTAGGGAACAGTCAGGCATCGAAACCCTAAACCCTGAACCCTAAACTGTAAACCCCTAGCATTCATGTAGATTCGTGACTCTCCTTCTTCTTAAGGGTCTGCCCCATCCCCGGAAGGAGATTCCTTTTGCAGGGATCTACATTGACCCCACGACTTTTGGGGAACCCGTGAGGGTTCGCAACCCTCAAGCTCTAAGCCCTGAACCCTACATGGCTGGGACCGAAACTATCTTTCATGGTTGACGGTTTGGGGTTAAGGCTTGAGGCCACAGCTTTTGATTTAGGATCAGGCTTCATGCTTTTTGGCTTGAGGTTTCTGGCTTAGAGAGCCATGGATGGAGCACTGCTGCTGAGCGGCATTGTGCAGATACCTCGGAATGGCCACATTAGGACTACATGTCTTGTACCGTGCAGAAAAGCCCTGAGGCCAAAAGCCGCAGCTTGTAGGAGCTCAAGGTGAGGCCAGGGTTCTCAGGGCTCATTTGTAGCAGCTTGAGCCACCAGTGAAAGATGAAGATGACAATGACAACTATTATTCTTCCGGCCGAGCATGGCAGTGCCAACAAGGCACCAGAGTGCCCCAGGAATATTCGCCATGTTCTGGTTCTCTGGCGAATAATCCTTAGCCCACTGCAGATACACTTTAAGTCTAGCGACAGAGAATGATCAGAGCACTTTGCAGGACACCTTCGAAGGCGAGTACATTGACAAGCAAGGAAGGATCATGCACTATGCACTCTGGTACATCAGTGTACAATGGCCGCTCTGACCTGCCACAACCTGACCCAAAAAGCCATCCCGTGAAAAAACATACAACAATGTCTGAGGCTGATGCTTCGTCATTCTGCACCCGGTACATGTAGTAGTGCAGTACCGGAGCATCACTCACCTATGGAAAGGAAATCAGTGAAAACCACGAACTGTAGGGTCTGCGTAACTCGGGCGAAGTTGTCGAAAACAGGAATAAGGATCACCACAGGAACCGTAAGCATGCTGGTGGTGCTACGCACCAGGAGCAGCTGCCGAAGCGGCAGTGGCAAAAGCAGCATCAGATGCAGCAGCAGCAGCCGCAGCAGCAGCAGCAAAAATCACCATAAGCACAAACTGCACGGTTCGAACAATTCTGGGCAGCGTGGAGGGTAGAGGAACAACATGGATCAACAGGTCGGGTGCGTCCCCAGAAGCCTGTGTTCTCAAGTCCCGACTGAACCTCCGAGCGCTGAAGCCCTGAATCGTGAGATGGGCCCCAAAACACCAGGCCCTGAGAACCCCCAGACCTCAAGCACCACTACTCCGCTGTCTTGGCCCTGAAACCATAAACTCCACAGAACTGCTCAAAATCTGATGTGCTCTTAAAGCCAGGCCGCTATCGCATAGTCCTCAGCAAGCTCTCCGAGTGACCAAAGGTGCCCCCATCGGGTATATTGCTTCATGAAGCTGAGGCTTGTGAGGTTTCGGATGCAAAGCTTATGGCTTGGCTCTACAGGTTTACCCTTTCCTAAGCTGGCACGGCACCCCTAAACCCTAAACCCCTAAACCCCTAAACGGCAAACCCCTAAACCCTAAACCCCTAAACCCTAAAACTCTAAAGGCCCTAAACCCTAAACCCACATGCCCTGCCCGACCGAGAGGACGGTTCCCAGGAAGGGCGCGCGAAGGCTTTGGTGAT